CTTTGTCAAACATTCTTTTCTCTCATTACTGTAATTAATTTAGTCAATACTGTTAGCTTATTAATTATGGAAGAAAATTTAAATCAAAAGATAATTTTCTTTAACTGTATACATTAAAATAACTTAAGAATAAAGAATCTTATTTATTCCTGAATTGCATTGGTATTTATTGAGTACCCACTACATTGCTGACACTATTCTAAGTGGTAGAGATGCAGCATTTAATATTTCTCTCCTTGTGGAGCTTATGAGAAGCCAGATAATAAACAATCATGTACTGAATAATTAATACGAATATATAGTATGTCAGCCTGGAGGAAATACTATGATAAAAGAAGGATGGTGAAATGGTAGTGTTTTTGAAAGAGAGGTCTTGTAATTTCAAACTGATAGTTTAGGAAAAGCTTCACTGAAAACAAAATGGCATTTGAGCAAAGACATAACATAGCTGAGAGAGTGAGTATGCTTAAATGCGGGGAAACACAAGTTCAAAAGCTTTAAGGCAAGAGAGTATATGGAGTATTTCAAGGTATCTGGAATGGAGTAGGCAAGAAAGAGATTGTTATATTAGACAAGGTTGCAGTGGCAGGAATAAAATATGGCTAGATGCTCATTATCTTTTGAAGGGGAAACAAACAGGATTTATCATCAGATTGGATTAACCATGTGAATGAAAGAGGAATCCATGATGAAACTGAAATTTTTGACCTAAGCACCTGTAATTATGGAGTGGCCATTCATTTGGATGGGAAAAGTTGTAAGATACATGTTTGTTGGTGGAAGATCAGGAGTTTATATTAGAAATGCTGACTTTGACATGTCTATTAGACATCAGTAGAGACACCAGATGAGTAGTTGGATATCTAAGTCAGGAGTTTAGGTAACCTATGTTGTCTGTTGCTGCATAACAAATTACCCCAAATTTAGTGGCTTCCAATAACAGTTTATTACTGTTTCTTACAATTCTATAGATTGTCTGTGCTCAGCTTAGGTGGTTCTTGTTTTGAGTCTCTCATGGCTGCAGTTAAATGAAGGCAGAGACAGGAGTCATTTGAAGGCTTGACTGGGCAGGTGAAGGAGCCATTTATACGGTGTGCAGTCCACGCTAGCTGTACACTAGGATTCAGCTAGGGCTATTATAGAGCATCAACATGTGATCTTTCCTTGTGGCTTTGGCTTGCATGGAGGCTAGGTTCCAAGAAAGAGATCCAAGGAACAAGGAATCGGTCCAAATGCAAGCTGTAAGTCTTCTTATAACCTAACTTTGGAAATTATACAGCTTCACATCTGCCGTATTCTACTGGTTGAGAGTAGTTTTCAGGATCAGCCCAGATTCATGGGGAGAGAGTTACACAATGAGAATATCAGCAGATGTGGTTCATGAAATGTGATTTTTAAAGGTTATCTACCACATGATATAGATATTGAGTGTTATAGGACTTATGATGGCATTCAGTCATAAGACATGATGAAATCAATAAGGCAGTAATACAGAGAAAAAATAGGACTCCAGATGGAGGGATCCCAGAGACACTTTAAGATTTACAGATTGGGGAAGGAGAAAAAACAAGCAAGACGATGAGAAATAAAGGCCAGATAAGTAGGACAAAAAAATAAAAGTAAAAAGAAAGAAAACAACTAGGAGAGTGTAGTGCCCTATCCAGGATGCCAACGTCAATTATGGCAAACACTGCTGATAATGCAAGAAGTTGTCAGATGAGAATTGGCCACCCCAGCATGAAAGCCATCAGTATAGCTTCAGTGAAGTCATGAGAAAGAAAGTTTATTGGGATGGTTTTATGAGCCACTTTAATGAGAAGAGTTAGAGGTAGTCAGATCTAGATAGCTTTTCAAAAAATGTTTATATTTACAAGGCAGCTGCAAAGCGAAGTATTTGGTTGAGGGGATCAGGAAGTCAAAAGATGAGTTTTTCCTCATAAGAGTATTTTTATATGCTAACAGAAATGATACAATGCAGAGAGAAAAATTGAGGATCTGAACAGTCTGAGCAGAATTGTTGGCCCTCTGTCCTTAAGTAGATGAGAAGACACTAATGGAAGGATGACCTTAGATTTGCAGTGTGCAAAGTTCATGCAAAATAAAAAGGAAGGCAGGACATATGGACCTTGATGGAGATTGGAGGATAACTAAGGTGACAGGAGATTTAGAAATTTTATTCTGTTTGCTGGTGTTTGCTCAGTGAAATTGCTAATCAAATCATCAACAGAGAAACAGAATGTGGAACGAAGTGCAGGAGCTTGAGGTAAGAAAAAATGTGAAATAGTTTTTAGGGAGTGAGGGAGAGACAGTGATGACAGTGGACTGAGGCCATGTAAGACTATAAGGCAATAGTAAGAACAGGCCTGTAATGTAATTTATAGAGACTGATTTTTTATAGTTTTGTAGAGAGATAGATAGAGATAGAGATAGAAATGTTGTTAGGGAAAGAGAGAAAAACCTGTCATCACATTCAATGGGAATAACATTTTCTTTTTAAGCAGTAAAAAAAAAAATACAGGCAAAATTTTAATCTCATATTAGAGCAGGGTGAATTATATAGACACTACAAGAATTGGATGGAGTATCCTTTCTAAAGAATAAAAAATACAATCATAGAATTTATTACTTTTGTAACCTAGATTCTTAAAATCCCTCAAAAGAGGATTTGGAAAAGGAAAACCTGACAATATATATGAAAAAAAGTTATTATGGTAAAGACCTTTAGCTTTTGCCTCAAACAATGAAATCATAGACCCATGACTGAACTGCTTTCTCTATATTTGATGGCATACATAAGTAAGGACGATTGTTTCAGAAGCACTGTGCTAGCCTATTCTTGCAGTGTTCAAAAGAAATATCTGAGATGGCATGATTTTAAAGAGATTTGATTGGCTTATGGTTCTGCATGCCATACAGGAAGCATAGCAGCTTCTGCTTCTGGGAAGTCCTCAGGAAGTTTTCAGTCATGGCAGAAGGCAAAGAGAGAGTGAAGCATCTAACATGGCAAGAGCAGCAAGGGGGGGTTGGTACTATAAACTTTTAACCAAATCTCATGAGAACTCAGTCACTATCACAACAACACCAAGGAGAATGGTGCTAAACCATTCTAGAGAAACTGCCTCTATGGCCCCACCTCCAACATTAAGAATTACAATTTGATGTGAGATTTGGTGGGGACACATATCCTTACCATATTAGATACATACTTATTTAGAGACACAAACTATTTAAAATTGTGTAATAAAACATACTACTTATCTTACTCCAAATGGTGGTAAAAAATACTAAAAATTTTCAAGTCCTGGAAACATGACAATATGAGAACATTAAAATATAAACACCCATAGCCATATAGCCATAGCAATCCTGCAAATGGGTTTCACTTTTGTAGATTTTGTGTGTGTGAAATTTTAGTGCCTATAACAATTTTTTTGGAAAGAAATGATTTATAAAGGTAGCATAACATTTACATTAAATACAACTTTTTTCAGTGCAGGAAATTTAGACAATTTCCAAATATGTTTTAATGCATTCATTCAAAAACTTATTACTAAGAGTCTATTTGTACCAGATGCTGTGCTAGATGCTGGATATTTGTGAGGAATAAAAGCAGGCTTGACTTCTCCTTTTATGAAGCTCATAAACAAAAGCACACAATAAAGCAAAAAAAAAAAATGTTTTCTTGCATTACTCAAGGATTAGTCAAAACAAAGAATTTGGTGTGTTTCAGTGGGATAAATGTACTCACTAGTCTGATAACATGACTTTAATACTTGTTAATTTCTGATATTTTAAAAATTACAGCCTTTCTAGTAGATGTGTGATATTGTGGCTTTGGCTTGTATTTCTGTAATGACAATTATATTGAGCATTTTTAATACTCTTATTGGCCATTTTTATGCTTCTCTGGAGAAATGTCTATTCAGAGCTTTTGCCCATTTTTAAATTGAATTTAAAATTTAAATTTGCCTTTTTGTTGTTGAGCTGTAGGAATTTTTTATATATTATAAATATAAACCCTTATCAGATGTATAATTAAATTTTTTTCTATTCTGCAGATTTTCTCACTGTTTTTGGATAATATTCTTTGATTTTGATGAATTCCAGTCTGTTTTTTCCTTTTTTTGCTCATGGTTTTGTCATCATATTGAAGAATCCGTTGCCAGACTCAAGGTTATGAAGATTACTCCAGTGATTTCTTCTAAGAATTTTATGGTTTAATTCTTATGTTTAGGTTATTGACCTATTTGAATGAATTTTTTATATAGCCTGAGATAAGGTTCTACTTCATTCTTTAAAATGTGGAAATTCAGGCCAGCTGTTGAAGAGATTACTCTTTCCCAGTTGAGTGAAAAAAAAAAATCCATTGTCTATAGATACCTAGGCTTATTTTGGACTCTCAATTCTTTTCTGTCGGTTCATATGTCTATCATTATGGCAGTACTTCCCTATTTTAATTACCATACCTTTGTAGTAAGGTTTGAAATCAAGAAGTGTAAGTCTTCCAAATTAGTTTTTCTTTCTCAAGATTGTTTTAGCTATTTGGATCCCTTTCCCATTCTATGTGAATCTGAAGATCAATTTTTCCATTTATGCAGAAAAATCTGCTAGAATTTGGAGCATAAGCTATGTTTGTATTTATTAATATTTAGGTATCTTTTAATTTATTTCAGCAATATCAGGTAGTTTTCAGCACATGAAATTTTCGCTTTTTTTGGTAAATTTATTTCTGGGTTTTTATTCTTTTAGGTGATATTGTAAATGAAAGTGCTTTATTAATTTTCTTTATGAAATAGTCATTGCTGGTGGGGAGAGACTAGTCATTTTTCATACTGATCTTATACTCTAAAACATTGCTAAATGTGTTTAATAGTTCTAGCAGCTTTCTTGTGAATTATTTATAATTTTCTATATATAGGACGTATATAAGACCATATCACATGTGAATAAAAATAGTTTTATTCTAGTTTATTTGCCTTTTATTGCTTTTTCTTATTCAGTTGCTCTGGCAGGAACTTCCAGTACAATGTTGATGAGCAGTGGTAAAAGTGAGTATCCTCGTCTTGTTAAACTGTGGATTATTAGGACATATTATTAACCTAGGAAATTTTTTTAAATTTTTCATAAGAACTGTGAGTGTGTGTGTGTGCATGTGTGTGTGTGCATGTGTAGTAAGCTAGCTGTCACAAATGACAATCCTCAAGCACTCTGTGGCTTTCTGTAATAAAATAAAAAAGTTTTATTTTATTTATTTGTTTTTTCAGCCTATAATGTTACAGGATGGAGAGGTTCATTGACCCTCTTTCAGCCTTAATCTCTGCCAATTTTGACCTCAAAGGCTACAGAGTCAGGGGAAGAGAAAACTAGAAAATTATGAGAGATATTTTTACAGGTCATGATGTTGCATTAGTTACACCCACCGACCTGTCTCATAGCCTTAATCCACCTGTAAGAGAGGCTGAAAAATGTAATTGCACTATGGATAATAATTACAATATTGTAAACATATAACATTTTTTTCCTGCCACAATACCTATTAATGCTGTTCAAGGTCCACACAATTACACGGATATATTTTGCTGTCACACACACTTTTTATACTATACATGTTTTTTTTTCCCTGCATTAATCTCTGGAAGGCAGCTTCATTTTCTGTTAACTCTTCCCCAATGAATATTTTCTCACTCTAACTACAATAGACTACTAACTTTTCTCAACAAGAAGTTCTGTCACCATTTTCCATAAGCTTTTTTTTACCATAAAAATTCCCTTTTTAAACTACTATGTTAAGTTCTGGTGTATATATGCAGGTTTGTTGTACAGGTAGATTCGTGGGGGGGTTATATTGGTAAACTCATGTCATGGGGGTTTGTCGTACAGATTATTTAATCACCCAGATTTTAAGCCTGGTACCCAATAGTTATTTTCCTGATTTTCTCCCTCCTCCCAGCCTCCACCCTCCAGTAGGCCCCAGTGTCTGTTGTTTCTTTGTATCCATGTGCTCTCATCAAAAATGCCCTTTCTGTCATCTACACTTGCAAATATCCTATTTATCATTCAAAGCTTAGCTCTCATATTATATTTTCTGTTACAATTTGCCTAGGCAACATAAATCACCCCCTTACATCTTCAGAGCACTTATACAACCATGAATAATACTATGTAAAACATTTACTGGGCACTTAATATGTGACAGGTACAATGCTGTATGTTTTACGGGCTCATCTGTGTTAATCCTCAAAACAACTATATAGAATAAGTAAAATCATAATTACTTTTTCTAGTGTGGAAACTGAGGTTTAGAGACCAGGTAATTTATTTAAGCTAAAACCTGTCCAAAGTCCATGACCTTAACAATTATTCATATTGTTCTGTCATCTTCTTACATATTTTTTTTGTTGTTTTTGTTTAAACTAGGAGTGCAGTCATGAATTGCTGGAGGGAACAGCTATATCATCCATTTTGTGTCCCCAGATCATATTACAGGAAGACCACTGCTTTTTCCTCACTACTAGAGATTAATTGCCTGCCTATTATTTCTGTGACATATATTACTAACCTTGATCTCTTTGGAAGAAAGGGTTACAATCAGGAACAGCTCACATTTTATATCTCTACAAAATTAAGGGCTCTGAAGAAAAATATGAGCAACATGTTCTTGTTCCTACATAGATTATCTTAATGAATTATTCCCTTATTCAGTCAAGCAGAGATTGGTCTAACAACATATACTCAAATTCCTTGTCAGTGACTATGTCTGTAGGAAATACAAGCTAATTTGGCCATTGCCAAACAAATATAATAAGAAAGAAAACTTTCAAAGACAGGGACAGATTATGTTGAAAAATTTCAATGTTTTGTGTTAACTGCACCACTGCCTTCTCCATTGTAATGACTTATTGAGATCTAGTTTTACAGAGAATAACTAATCCTTACCATCAAATTGAATTGTGTTAGAGAAGCAGTGGTCATGTCAACCTGCCACCACCAATTAGGACTTATCTGTTATAGTGGGTACTTTTTCCAACTATTTATTCTATGTAATAGCAAATCATATTTCTCAAACATATAACTTACATTCAGTATCTATGAACTTACATTCATAGATACAGGCAAGTATTAATTAAAAATCACTGGCATTATGTCTCTCAACTTTGACTTAGTGATTCTGTCCTAAATCAGTTACATCTCATTAGAAACAACAGAAGAGCAAGTATTCAAGTTTCTCTCATATTTCAGACGTGTTCTTTTATATGTCAGTAGTTCTTAAAGGCCTATTTGAAGATCAGCTATCACAGATTCCATAGATAACAGTCATACACATATACCACACATGCACACACATACATATATGTCTAGTACATGTAATTTGTATATAACTACATTTACACACATATACACATATACATGTGTGTATGCATGTCAAATATATTTATATTGAATTCTGAGTTTGAAGTGGGCTTTAAGAATTTTTAAAAAATTATATGTTGAAATTCATAAACACAACTTAAAAATAATTAGTTCAAAGATTTATAGTAAAAAGCAAATGTTTTCTGATCCATACCTCAAAAGGAAGTATCTAGTTCTCTATTTTGTTTTTAAAGACAGAGTCTTGCTCTGTCACACAGGCTGGAGTGCAGTGGCACAACCGAGGCTCAGAGCAATCTTGGCTCACTGCAACCTCTGCCTCCTGAGTTCAAGTGATTCTTGTGCCTCAGCCTCCTGAGTAGCTGCGATTACAGGAACCTGCCACCACACCTGGCTGATATTTGTATGTTTAATAGAGACAGGATTTCACTGTGTTGGTCAGGCTGGTCTCAATCTCGAGACCTCAGGTGATCTACCCGATTTGGCCTCCCAAAGGGCTGGGATTATAGACATGAGCCATGGTGCCTGGCCTAGTCCTCTGCCTTTAGGACAGTTTTAAGAAGAGAGCATGATTCCTTTGTCAATTTAGTAATTTGTTTACTTTTGACTGTGATTTAAAATACTAGATCAAATTGATCTCTGGTAAATTGAATTGCAATGAACAAATCCATCTTGAGCTTTTAAAATATATCAATCTCTTTATTTTAAAGGAGGAATCAGATTAATGTATACATTAATTCCTTACTAGTGTATGCACATTCATTTTTGAGAAAGCTACTCTAATTTTATATCTTTAAATAGTCATTAAAATTGTTTGGAATTGAATTATATGACATGGTCCATTATAGCTTTAATGGACTTGTTAAAACTTAATGATTAATACTATGATTAATGCATGGATGGTGCCATTTACACCGATGTCATGTGTCACCATCTACACATTAATTAATAAAGAATTTTGAGCAAATTTTTTAATGAGAGGTTGTAGTTGAACATATAGTTACCATTCAAAGAACATAGCCCAATTGCATATGAAGAGCAAAGTTGGATGACTGATATTACCCGACTTTAAGACTTACCATAAAGCTACAGTCATCAAGAAAGTGTACTAGTGGTGAAAGAATAAACACCGATTAATGTAACGAAGCAGAGAGCCCAGAAGTAGAACCACATCAGTTTTGTTAACAGATTTTTGGCAAAAGAGCAAAATGCCTAGTTGTTCCAGCACCATTTATTAAAAAGACCCATATTTTTAATAAATGGAGCTGGAACAACTGCACATTCATATGCAAAAAAAAAATGAACCCAGACATAGACCTTACACATTTCACACAAATTAACTCAAAATGAGTCACAGATCTAAAGGTAAAACACAGTGCTATAAAACTTCCAGAAGATAATGTAGAAAAAAATTCTGGGTTTGGCAATGACTTTTCAGATGCAACACCAAAGGCACAGTCCATGAAAGAAATAATTGATAAACTGGATTTTATTAGAATTAAAACTGTTTGCTCTCTGAAAGACACTGTAAAGAAAGTGAAAACACAAGCCACAGAGTGGCAGGAAATATTTGCAACAGATATATCTGATAAAGGACTGTTATCCAAAATATAAAAAGAACACTTAAAACTCAACAATACAAAAATGAACAAGCAATTAAAAATGGGCAAAAGATGTCATCAAAGAAGATATACACATGTTAAATAAGTATATAGTAAAGATGTTACATATCATATGCTTTTCAAAGAAATGTAAAATAAAACAAATTAAATTCAAATCAGAAAATTGAGTGCATATTATTAAGTGACAAGAGTCAATCTAAAAAGACTCGATACTTTATCATTCAAACTGTATGACATTACGGAAAAGGCAAAACTATGGCAACAGTAAAATATCTGTCGTTGCTAAACTTTAGGTGAGAGGAATGAATAGGTGGAGCACAGATAATTTTTAGAGCATCGAAACTTTGTATGACACTGTAATTGTGACTAAAAGTCAGTATACATTTGTTGAAACCCATAGAATGTACACAAGAGTAAGCACTAAGGTAAACTATGGACTTTTGTGATAATGATGTGTCAATGTAGACTCATCAATTGTAGCAAATGTACCACTTTGGTGGGGAATGTTAAGAATAGGGGAGGCTGTGCATGTGCATATGGGAACTCTGTACTTTCCTCTCAATTATGCTATGAACCTAAAACTTCTCTGCAAAATGAAGTGCATTAACACAACAACAAAAATCCATAGCTTATTCATCGTAATTTTTTGTTAATATCACAAATCATGAAGTATTTCAGAATGTTACTAATTTAACCATATGAAATGTATATTAAAATGTTAGGGAAGCATCTAATATGTAGGAGACATATGTGTGTGTGTGTATACCAATATACACACATGCAAAGAAAAACCTTAATATAGTAGCTGATTTTTCAATGATATTTTGCAATAAAGTGAAATAAATTTTAAAAAAGGAAACCAAATACGAGAACAAAATATATTTCAATAACTATTATAAAATATCAAAATGCCATCTGATTCATAGAGTCAGCATTTATATACTGGCCAATGCTTAGAGTAGATGAAATGAGTAAGTCAGGGAAAAGGGAGACAGATTGATAGACTTTTAAGAATTATATTGTTATTACATATGCTTGCAACAATTATGCAATCCTCT